CGTCCCTCTGGGGAGAATACCTCTTTGAAAATAGGCCATTCCAGTCTTTTTCAGCAAGCTTCTGATTTAACCGGCGGAGTTTATTTACAAATTCCCAGACCTGCTAGTCTACTCCAGTATTTGATCTCTGTATTTCTTCCACGACCTGAAATAAGGCCATATCTGCTTCTTCCAAACAATCGATCTGGGGGATCAGGTGGTGGTGTTGACTTTAGAGCTGCGTGCTTCTGCCATCGACAGCTTGTGGACATTGGCTACGTTTGTTCTGTTTGCCTCTCCGTCTTTTGTGAATTCACTCCACTTTGCTCAACTTGTCATACTCCATTCAAAGTTCCTATTGCATAGCATATTTATAAAATACATGTATTCTAACTAGCCTTTTTTTATTTTCGTTAGGTGTTGTCATAACTTATACCTCTAACAACTGGGCTCTTTTGTTATTTTATTTTAGAGAATTTAATGTAAATATGAAACGCAAAATTTGTCCGCTTTCAAATCCCCTCGAATCCGATGATAAATCTCCAAAAGCGAATAAATACGATGGGCCTGGATGGGGAATAATGCTTAAATCAAACTATGAGAAGGGCACCGGTCTTGGTTCCAAGGCCCAAGGGCGTATTGATCCTATTGAGATGAGTCTGAAAAGAGGACGTGGTGGACTTGGCCTTGCCGAAGATATTCAAGAAAAACGGTTAAAACTTCAATCTAGCAGCACAATTTTTAAGCCCTCTATTGAATGGATTCCAGATAATGATGCTGAGCGTCCCTTGGATAGCGACCAGCTTTGGAAATTCACTCGAAAAGACTATGGACACCAGGTGCTGCAGGATTTAACAAGACAGGTTATGGGAGATCCGTCTATTCTTCTTGACCCCTATGCTACTGAGGCACGAGGCGATGCAATATTGGATATGTATTCTCAAAACGAGTTTTGCTCTGATCGTCTATTGAAGGAGGTTCTACACAAAAAGGTCATTTAGATTCTATTCATTTTTGTGTTGTTTTTCCTAGGCAAATTTAATTATTTACTATCCATTACAATATAATATATATTACGTTTTGCAAAGTTCATCTGAGTGAATCGCCCATATTTATTTTGTAAACTGCATTTACTAAAACACTTAATTATACCCGAAAACCATTTGCTGCTGTTTTGCTTATCGCTATGGCGTTTATTCAAGATCCTCAGGATTCATCATTGCTTAATCTATGCTTTATGCCAAGCTAGCGTTTACGTTCCCTTAATCTCTTTAGTTGACAAGGGATTGCGAGTTATTTGTCAATTGATTAATG